ACATCATTACTGAGGGAGGTAGGTCACCCTTAATTAATTAATGAGAGAGGTAGGCCACACTCACATCATTAGTTAGGTAGGTAGGTAACACTTACATCACTACTGAGGGAGGTAGGTCACACCTACATCATTACTGAGTTAGGTAGGTCACACTTACATCATTACTGAGTTAGGTAGGTCACACTTACATCATTACTGAGTTAGGTAGGTCAAACCTACATCATTACCAAGGGATGTAGGTCACACTTTCATCATAGCTGAGGGAGGAAGGCCACTCTTACATCATTACTGAGAGAAAAAGGTCACATTTACAGCATTACTGAGGGAGGAAGGTGTCAGGAGACAGATTTTTCCTGCTCTCTTGTGCACTGGATGAGGTACGAAATTGCATAGTGCTCCAGTAATGTGTATCATGACTCAACTTTCGTAATATAACTCCTACACAGTCGTGTTGGGTGTCATTAGACAGCCCGGGACATTTGCTAGTCATTGATGTCTTTCTGAGCTGTGTATCAGATTTGTGAGAGAAATTACAGGAGGGAGTTGACTTCAGGGAAACTTTTGTACTAGTCAAGGGTAGAGAGGGAAGTTTGGGGAGTTAACGGTTATAGGCTACCCTCCCCATCACGTGTCCACCTCGTGGGAGAGAGGGTAGCGTCGTGAGGAAGAAGTACCATTAGCTGAAGCCTTGGGCCTCCTGGTATGCTATACCGTGATTGGTCGAGAGGCTGAGGGGTACCGCAAGGGCAAGCGGAGCCGTCTTGGCGCCAAAATCGTTATTCTTACCAGGAACGTTGCTCACGAAGGACGTACTTTTTCGTGCTAAGTCCAAGCACCGGGAAATACCACCTGCAACGTCACTAAAGTCACTCTCGTCGTCGTATTATCTTTCCGGGTGCCGTGCGTAAGAATACGGCGTCGCTGGAAGGTGTATTCAACGATATTAACAGTGCGAACTTTGTCATCTAATCCGCGTGAATCGTGAGACGCCATCTCAGAGCAACTGGACTGAGAGAGACTGTATCGACTCGTGGTCATCCGTCATCTATTTGTACATATGCTTCAAGGAACTGCAGCTAGGCTATCGAGAGAAGGTTTCAGTGTTATGAGGGAAACCTTAAATTCATAATTCCGAGGAATTAGCAGTGAGCAGTGAAGGACTCTGTCATTCTCGTGTGCTGTGTAGCACCGCGTACCGTTGTACTCTGTTGTACCGCTTCAGTAAGGAGGACGTGGTACCACCATCAGCTATGTGTGTAACTGTGTGCCGCGTGTACCCTCGGCGACCCTGAGCCGAGCGTCCCACGTCACCCTGGTCTGTATGTGTGATCCACCACCCCGTGGTCCACCTACCCGTGGTTCAGCCGCCCCATGGTCAAGCCGACCATGTGTACGAAGTAGTGAGAACGTCTACTTCACCAGCAGCAGCAGCAGAGATGGGAATGGTAGACGTATGGGTGTGTGTGTATGTATGTACCGGCCGGTGAATTAATGTAAGTACACTGTTTCCGTTTTTGGGTAATTAAACTCTGTAGCTGGTTTTGCACCCAGTGGTCCGTCTGTCCTCTCTCCCTGTCGACCACCTGGTGAGGTGAATGGGAATTGGAGGCCTGTGAGTTACCCTGTTTGACGTCAAGTTGAGGTGGAGCCCAACTGTGAGGTTGACGTGTGTGAGGACACAGAGACACATTCAGTGGTGGAGTAAAGTGATCTTTAATGGTTTCCATTTCTCTATATTTGCCGTGTATGCAATTCTATATTAATTGTTTTCCGTTTCAGCAGTAAAGTGGTAACAGGGAGGTTTCCCTTGGTTATTGATAATTCTTTAATTATATTGGCCAGCACTTTTTTACTGTTGCGTTGTGGTAAAGTTGTGAATTATTGCGGAAGATAATTATTGGGGAAGTCATTTACAAGTTTTGCCGTGAGTGGCAAGTATGTACCGTGTTGTACTGTGATGTACCGTGTTGTACTGTGATGTACCGTGTTGTACCGTATTGTACTGTGTGTGGACTGTAGGCAAGTTGTGTCCTTGGTGGAATGCGTTGTATACTATGAAGGATTCCGTGAGAATTGAAGTCTTTTAACGTCATCGGGGGTCACGATTTACTTAACGAGGTCATTGTTGTTTTGTTGAACATCGTTGGGATTAACGTAGAGACGTGTAACGGCAACAGTCGCAGTGAAGTTCACGCAGTGGAGGATTTGTCAAGTGAAGACTAACGTAGTGTTAACGAATTAACGAGCTGTCGTTAAGTTGTGATTAACGTAAGGGGTTGACCGGTCTGTCATGATCGGAGTCAATTGCGCTGTAAATAAGTTGTTGTAATTTATTGGACTGATCGGATCTGTCTGCAGGCAGAGGGATTAAGCACTTGTAGCTAATTAAGGAGAATTAGTACCCGCCACATAGTGAATTCACCAGGTGTTGATGTTGTTTACACGGAGTGTCTTGTAACCTTGTGTGGTACACTAGTCTACCCTAGTTAAGGTAATCTTGTCGTAAGACTGGAAATGAACAGTCAGTTGAGAAATAATAGGCTTTATCAATACTCGTCTGAATTAATAGGCTGTTATATTTAGCAAATAATTGGGAATTACTCACCGAATGTTTGACTTTCAAGCTGATGTAGTTATTTGGTTTACGAGTTATTGCTGCCATTTAAGTGTCGTTGAGACACGTGTGATTAACGTAATTCTTTAAATTCAATTAGCGTAACTTTTGTTGTTGATTGTCCTGAGAGACAAGTGTTAACGTAAGATTTTTATAAGAGGTCATCATTCTTGGATTCACCACCTTGTTACTTGGTACCTCGTTGAGAGCAGCAAGCGCCAGTCAAGTTTTTGTGGTTATAGTATTTGTTCACCGTGAAGCCGTGACAATATTGATTGCAAGCTTGCGTCACCAGTAGGCACCACTTTGTTCAGTTAGTGTCATTAGTCAGTCAGCGACGACGGGATATGGATACCGTGGGTCCATCAGGCTGTTGAATATCTGTTCTTTAATGCGCCACTGGAGTGACAGTAAAGTAACGTAAACTCTTTGTTGTAATAGTTCTAGTTTTTGTGAATAAATTGTTATGTTTCAGAAAACGGTCGTTTACGTCAAACCTTCCAATATTACTGCCCCACATTTCATGTTCTGCAACGCTTTGCCTGCTTATGTTCATATTAAGTCTGTATCTGAAGCTCGAGTCCATTGCACAGCACCACACTTCTATAAATAACGAAGTGAGAATCCAACGGCTACCCTCTATTACCTCTGTTAGGAGGAGCCAGTGACCTAAGTGACCGGTGTTATCCATGAAGCTTCGCCTGGCGGTTTGCTCTCGCTGTCCTATGATTTTAGACTTTAAGATTAAATATCTGCCACTGGCAGCTCTTGCTGTTTAAGGTCTGCCTCTCTTGCGAGGTAGTTGCGATTAATGTAACATCAATAGGAATTAATTCTTTTGATAATTGTCAAAGAAAAAAAATCTCACAGTAGGCCACACATACATCACTACTGAGGGAGGTAGGTTCAACTTATATTATTACTGTGTGGGGTAGGCCACACTTACATCATTACTGTGTGGGGTAGGCCACACTTACATCATTACTGTGTGGGGTAGGCCACACTTACATCATTACTGTGTGGGGTAGGCCACACTTACATCATTACTGTGTGGGGTAGGCCACCCTTACATCATTACTGTGTGGGGTAGGCCACACTTACATCATTACTGTGTGGGGTAGGCCACACTTACATCATTGCTGTGTGGGGTAGGCCACCCTTACATCATTACTGTTTGGGGTAGGCCACACTTACATCATTACTGTTTGGGGTAGGCCACACTTACATCAATACTGTGTGGGGTAGGCCACCCTTACATCATTACTGTGTGGGGTAGGCCACACTTACATCATTGCTGTGTGGGGTAGGCCACCCTTACATCATTACTGTTTGGGGTAGGCCACACTTACATCATTACTGTGTGGGGTAGGCCACACTTACATCATTACTGTTTGGGGTAGGCCACACTTACATCATTACTGTGTGGGGTAGGCCACACTTACATCATTACTGTGTGGGGTAGGCCACCCTTACATCATTACTGTGTGGGGTAGGCCACACTTACATCATTACTGTGTGGGGTAGGCCACACTTACATCATTACTGTTTGGGGTAGGCCACACTTACATCATTACTGTGTGGGGTAGGCCACATATACATCAATACTGTGTGGGGTAGGCCACCCTTACATCATTACTGTGTGGGGTAGGCCACACTTACATCATTACTGTGTGGGGTAGGCCACATATACATCAATACTGTGTGGGGTAGGCCACCCTTACATCATTACTGTGTGGGGTAGGCCACACTTACATCAATACTGTGTGGGGTAGGCCACCCTTACATCATTACTGTTTGGGGTAGGCCACACTTACATCATTACTGTGTGGGGTAGGCCACATATACATCAATACTGTGTGGGGTAGGCCACCCTTACATCATTACTGTTTGGGGTAGGCCACACTTACATCATTACTGTGTGGGGTAGGCCACATATACATCAATACTGTGTGGGGTAGGCCACCGTTACATCATTACTGTGTGGGGTAGGCCACACTTACATCAATACTGTGTGGGGTAGGCCACCCTTACATCATTACTGTTTGGGGTAGGCCACACTTACATCATTACTGTATGGGGGAGGCCACATATACATCAATACTGTGTGGGGTAGGCCACCCTTACATCATTACTGTTCGGGGTAGGCCACACTTACATCATTACTGTGTGGGGTAGGCCACCCTTACATCATTACTGTGTGGGGTAGGCCACACTTACATCAATACTGTGTGGGGTAGGCCACACTTACATCATTGCTGTGTGGGGTAGGCCACCCTTACATCATTACTGTGTGGGGTAGGCCACATATACATCAATACTGTGTGGGGTAGGCCACACTTACATCATTACTGTGTGTGGTAGGCTACACTTACATTAATAATAAGGGATGTACGTCCTTCTTATATCATTACTGAGAGAGGTAGGTCACTGTCTTGCAACTTCAAACATTTCAACGTCATCAGGTGCAGCAGGTGTCATGGTGTGTGACGGTGGTGGTGGTGAGCGACGACCTCGCCTTCCTCGCCGCCTTCACCCAGTCGTCCCTCAAGGGCAACCTCCTGGAGTGGTCGACGAGGCTCCTGGTCATGACCCGCCTTCCCCTCCAGCAACTGCAGATACTTCAGACTGCACTATCTTTGACAAATTCCATGGTGCTTATCATCAACAGTGCCTCCAAAATTCATTGGTAACTACATATTTTCTTTTTTTTTTAAATATGGAAACGATTTGAGTAAACTGAATAACGAACAATGCTAATATGAATTTGTGCAATGTACAGAAGATATAGTACTCGGTCTGTACAGGTGCAGCGTGTACATACAGCTGCCGTACAGTCCCCGTGGGGCCCAGGCGATGAAGCTGGCCACATGGACGCCCCACCGAGGTCTCGCTCTTGCCTCCAGACTTCTTCCTTTTCCTGACAAGTTCTTCAAGTATGTATCCTAACTTAAAGATTCTGTTAGCATCTACACGTAAACCTATCTTTACAAATGGGACAGTATTTTGAAAGCTATTGAATCTTGTACATCAGATAATGATCTAAATGCGTGAAAAAACCTTTGCTCAGTGTTAGGATCAAGACAGATATATATAAGTCCAAATCAGATAATTTGACACAAATGCTAATTATGTTCTCAACATGTCCCTTGATGAGAATGTAATTACAAAAGATGTTAATTAAGTTATACTAAATGTACTAGATTTGCATTTAGTACATCTTACTATATGAATAAGAGTAGTGAAATATACGCCTACGACCGTGCGCACCATCTGTCAGGTGGCTCTAATAGAGCCAGCTGGTCATGTGGGTCAAAGGTATGCGGCCACATAGAGTTGTAGGAAGATTTTCCCGGATGTTGGGGCGTGTCGGATGCGTGTGAGTGTCTGGTGTTTGGGTAAGCGGTAAGGAAAGATGGGGGGTTATGTTGTTGGGAGGTAGGACAGTATGTGGAGTGTGGGTATGTGGTGGAGTAAGGAATATGAGAATATGTGGATAGGATAGTTGAATATGTATGGGTGCTTGCCGTAGACTTAATCCTGTGTGTAGATAATAGTTTTGATTAGAAGATGTGAGTATGTATTTCTATGTAGAGGCTGTGTGTAGGTGTGATGGGTCCCAACATATGTTGATGGGGTGCGTGAGGGGTGCGGGTATGGGTGGGGGTGAGGGGAGCTTCCCCTCGGTGGAAGAGTGTTTAGGGTCATTTTTTTTTGTTTTTTTTTGTGGTTTTGACCGCCATTATTTCTCTTCAAGCTATGCTCGCAGCAGGAAGTGTCAGGAGGGTAGGAGAGAGCAGAGTCCAGGAGGTGTTGGGAGCTGCAGCAAGAGGGATGTGGTCCATTATACTTAATCGTTTTTTTTCACGTCTATTTTCTTCGAGCTATGCAGCTGTGTTTGGTGATGATCCATGAGGGTAATAGTTCGGCCATACATGGCAGGAAGTGTGGAGGAGGAGGAGGAGGAGGGTGAGAGAGAGAGAACAGACACTCTTAAGTTGTGAATGAGATGAGGCATTAGTTGGTGGAGAAGGTCTGTTTTATGTACCAATGCCCCCTCCCCGCTCAGCTCGTTGTCGCCGTGTGGGGGCTTAGTGGGCGGCTGCCGGAGTGTGATGCTCCTTGGGACAGTCCTCTGTCCTTTTCTAGCCTTGTGCTCCTGCTGCCGTCCTCTCCAATTCTGCTGGGCATCTTTTACTTTTCCTTCTGTTTCGTTTTTCTCCCCCCTCTTCTCCTATCTGCTTGCCGTTTCCTGCCGACCTTTTGCTCATTCTGGTTCTTCGCTTGGACTTCTTCTATTTTGACGCCCGGGTGCTTGAGGAGGCATACTCATACACCCGTAGAACTGCAGTACCCGACGTCGAGAGCGAGGGGAACCTTTTATTGTCAATCCCCACTTCGTCACTGAACCCGATCTCGATGGACTGTCGGTTTCTTAAGGTGGCGTTTGTGGGGCGTATACTCACGACGCACCCCTAGGAGGCCCCGACAAGATCGGCGATAGCTTCTTGTTGGGTGTCCTGCCTCTAATTGTGGCTCCATGGTGGGTGTGGGGGCACATTCGTGAGTGAATTCTTCTTTTCGTCAAGATGATAACCCCTGTTTCGGCTTCTTCTGGTTTACCTTCTCAGGCTCGTGGGGTGGGCGACCAAGCCCCCGAGTCGGTCCGTATTGGAAGACCGGGCTCTGTAGCCTCCGCTGCATTGGGCCCCGACCTTGCTCATCCTTTAGCCTCTCTGACTCCTTCCTCTGGCTCCCCTCCCTCCTCTGTGGTTGGGTCGAGCCCCAAGCCCTCAGTGGTGACTACCTCGTCCCCTGGCGCGGCTCCTTCTCTAGTTGTAACTACTGCGCCTTTTAACCCCTCTCTCTCTGGGGGTTCTCACCGCCGTCCTCGTCACGGCCGCCCTCGCTCGATTCCTTCCAGTTCTGCTACCTATCAAGCCTTGTTTGGTCCCGCTTCGAGGGCCAAATATTTTGATCTCCTCCCTCTTGATTCTGCGCCTCCTGACGATTTCTCCCTCCATCGACATCTCATTGATTCCGTGGATGCCTCCATTACTTTCAACCCGACTCGTCTCGGTACCCGTGTCGTTGCTGCTCCTTCTCAGGATGCTGCTTCCCGCTTGGCTGCCTTATCCTGCCTTGGCGAGACCCCCGTTCGGGTCTCGAAGAACGCTCAGTTGAATGCCAGTGTTGGCACTATTTTGCTCCCGCCCCATGTTGCGACCGGTGTTCGGGACCTGCGCGACTGCCACGACGATATTCGACATATCCTCGCTGCCCAGGGCCATTCTATTCTCCAGGTGGACACGTTTACTCGTCCCCCTCGTGGTAGTCGCCGTCAACCCCTCCGGGTTGTGAAGATTACCTTTGATGGTAGGACCCTTCCACCCTCTGTCATTCTTGCTGGTGCCAGGTGCTCTGTCCAGGAGTACATTCCTTCTCCTCGGCTCTGCAACAAGTGCTGGATGTTTGGGCATGGTGCCCTCCGCTGCTCCGGGACTGTCTCTCTCTGTCCTTTGTGTGGTGGCGAAGGTCACTCTAAGTCGGAGTGCGCTTCTCCCCAGGCTCGTTGCCTCAACTGCGGTGAGGCCCATCCTACCTTCTCCCGTGCGTGTGTCCATTACAAGCTTGAGGCAGCCGTCCTCAACTTGAAGCACCGGGAGCGTTTATCTTTTCCTGAGGCGAGGCGCCAGGTTCGCCGGCTCCCGCCTTATGCTAATATCTCTTATGCTCGCGTGTTGCGCTCTTCCTCTCCTCGTCCTTCCCGCCTTCCTCAGACTCACAACCGTTTCCGGGCCTTGGACCCTGATGCGCCCAATGCCCCCTCCTCTGTCCCTTTGGGTTCTCTCCCGAAGGATCCTCCTCCTGGTCCTCTGTCTGGGGTTCCCCTTCCTTCTACCCGGTCTGTCGTGTCTTCTGTGTCTTCTTCCTCGTCCCCTCTGATCCTCCTTCCCATCCTCTTCCTCCATCTATCGGCTCTCCCCACCGCCTGTCGGTGCGGGCGGATGTCCATCGCTCTCCTAACGGCCGTCGTGTGTGCTCTCGTTCGGCTTCTCCTGTTGAGACACTGGAATCCGTTGCCCGGTACGTAGTTGCTGGGACACCGGTCTCTTTAAGTCAGAAGCGTAAGCCTGGCTCCTCTCCTTCCTCTTCCCCGGCGGGTAAGAAGGCTTCGCTTTCTTCCTCAGCTCCTCCTTCTGGCTCTGTTGCTCCTTCCCCTTCCGTTTCAGTGCTTGCGCCCCCTGTTCCTGCTATGGAGGTTTCTTTGGCCCCTGCTTCCCTTTCGGTTGCTGCTCTTGCTGGGGTGCGCTCCCCTCTTTCTACTCCCCCTCTTCCTGCTGCTGTCCTTGACTGCTCCTCTCCGTTGTCTCCTCCTCTTCCTCCTCCTCCTCCGGACCCTGCCCGCCCACCTCTGATCTGTTCTCCCGTTTCCTTCCCTCCGTCTTTGCTCAGTTTACCCATGCCCCCTAACCCTGACTTTGCTGACCCTGATCCCGACCCTGATATTCTTTAACGTGCTCTGTTGCTCTTTCGCCTTTGTTTCTTCCTTGTTCTCTGTTTTGTCCTTTCTCTTCTCGTCGTTGTCCATTCTTCAATGGAACGTTCGAGGTTATTACACCAATTTCCTCGAACTCCAACTTCTGATTTCGCGGTTTTCGCCCCTTTGTGTCTGTCTCCAGGAGCCAATGCTTGGTGCTCGTCCTGGTCGTTTTCGTGGCTATTCCTTTCTCTCCCCCCCCCCCCCCAGCCATTGCTAGGGCTTCTAATTCTTCTGCTCTCTTGATTCGGGCTGATGTTCCCTTTGTTCCTTTACTTTTTCCTTCGCCTCTCCATTGTTCTGCTGCTCGTATCTTTGTGGGGAAATGGTACACAGTTTGTTCCATTTATCTCCCCCCGAGTGTCCCGCTCTCTCTTCCTGATTTGAAACACCTCCTAGACTCCTTGCCGGAGCCTGTGCTCCTGCTGGGTGACTTCAATTGTCGTCATTCTCTTTGGGGTGACGTTCTGACGAATACCCGGGGTCGCCTCCTAGAGCCGTTTCTCCTCTCTTCTTCCCTGTCTCTTCTGAATTCTGGTGAGCCCACTCATTTGGACTCTCGGACTCGCACCCTTTCTTGTCTTGATCTTTCTCTCTGCTCTTCTCTTTACTTAGATTTCACGTGGCAGGTTCTTGATGACCTCCATGGAAGTGATCATTTCCCCATCCTTGTTTCCTCTTTCTCTTTTCACCCTTCCCTCTCTTTCCCTAGGTGGCAGTTTGCTAAGGCGGACTGGACCCTATTTTTCCTCAGTGCTACTCTCTCTGACCTCTCCCTTCTGCCCCTCTCTCGCGCTCTCCTCCTTTTTCATGACACTGTCTTCAACGCTGCCCTCCGCTCTATTCCTCGCTCTTCCTCTCGGGGTCCACGGAAGTGCGTTCCCTGGTGGAATGCGGACTGTGCTCGGGCTGTCCGCTGTAAGCGTGCAGCCTGGAAGAGGCACCGCCGTAGGCAGACGACCGATTCTTTTCTTTTCTTTCGGAAAGCGAGTGCGGTGGCCCGTAGGGCCATCCGTACGGCTAAACGTGAATGTTGGGCATCTTATGTCTCAACAATTACGTCCGAAACCCCTCTGGCCCAGATCTGGAAGCGTATCCGCAAGATAGCGGGTAAGTTCGTTCCCGATGTTTCACCGGTCCTTCACCTCCATGATACTCTTGTGGCGGACCCGTTGCAGGTCGCTTCCGAACTGGGTTCCCACTTTTCTTCTGTTAGCTCTGGTCTTCATCTTCCCCAATCTTTCCTTCTTCGTAAACCTGTCCTTGAGTCTCGTCCTTTAGATTTCTGCACTCATCATCAGCTTCCCTATAAAGATCCCTTCTCTCTCTCTGAACTTCGTTCTGCCCTGGCCCTCTGCGGTTCTACGGCGGCGGGCTCCGATGGTATTCATTATG